CTGCAACCTGGTTATTATCTCGAGGGAATAAACTGTCCAAACCATGGGAGAAGCTGTAAGAACTGTACTTTCCAGTAGCATTCCTTAACACAGCTTGTCCAAGAACAGGAAAGTAACTGCAATGTTTTATGTCATGCAATGGAGGAAGGAGTACGAACAGAGAGACTTAATTAGGCATCAGGCATAGATGCATCAGACAGAACGAATAGTAGGGAAAGAAATTATGTTCATTACAGCTAATTGGGGACCCTGTACCAAGGAGCCATACAGGTCCTGTATTCTGCTCATTTATGACATAGTCTGTGCATTTTACTAAAGAAAAAATAGGATCCCTGGAATTGGTAAGAAAGCATTTTTATGTATTTACTTGTTTAGCATGGTTCAGCAAATTCTCATTGCCTTCAACTCAAAAGGTCATCAATTCCACTCATTATCCTTTTTTTTTAATAAACACATGGATCCAACATTATAGATCTATTTGGTTGCCATGTATTAACCAATGATCATTGTTATCTGCTGTTCCAGGAATGTTAATCAAATGCTTGGCTGCAGGCTACCGGCAGAATTTGTTTTATTTTATTTCTATAATCAATATTCATGAGCAATTGTGTTCATATCAATCAATGCTAGAAGCAGTTGCTATCTGGTTTGTGCCTCCCAGTATATTTTGAACAGAGAACTACAATGTTAAATGCATTAGTTCAGATATTTGCCAAGCTTCCGTTATTCAGTTAAAACCTCCTATGCAATGCACAGAAAGGTTGCCTGAAGAACAGTACATCTGAATTGACTGGGCTTACTACTTGTACATTATCCCACTGCATTGCAGAACATGTTGGTAAACATTTACAGACACTAAATGAGTAGTGAGCCATGAGAGTATAAACACATTTAATATTTAGTTCTATAATTTAGTATTCTAAACAATTGTACTCCACATTAAAAACTGTTCTTTTAGGCCTCCAAGCGACATTCAATCAAACATTAAGAGGTTGGAGAACAGACAGGGGAGAATGGTGAAGAAAGAATGCTGGAAACCTTTGCAGAGCTGAAAAAAGATCCATCAGTGAAACCAATCCACATGATGGGACAAAAATATTTTTTAAAATTCAAAATCGAAGAAAACATGGTCAGGGCAGACTTTAAGTGAATCTCCAAGAGTCCTGTAGAACTGACAGACTCAGGTACTGACTACCACGTCTGTCACAGAGAATCAGTTAGATTCCAATGTTCCAATGCCAGGTATGTTACCCGGGAGCGAACTCAGCTCCAAAGGGAGCACACTTACCTTAGCCAAAAAGAGGATAGCCACAAGTTGCTTATTAGACAAGCATTGGTTTGAACCCTTGTCTGGTTGGTGGATAGCCAGTACCAAGAATTGCTCATGAGCCACATGGTGAGCAGTGCAGCTCAACATAAAATGTGTGAGAGCATTGCCACTGTCCGTCTTTCCACAAGTTAAACGCGCAATCCCTAACCATTGAGCAGTGATTCAACCACTTGGAGGTGTGGAGCTTCAGGGATACCAATGAAGGTACGCATCAGCCCTGGAATCTCAGAAACATACACGTACAATTCCTTGCTACAGGAAGTCTGTGGAAAATAATGCTGACAAGTATTGGTTCAATTGAAGCCTGTAACTTTTCTAAATCTGTTATCCTTTGTTGAAGATGGCCATTGAAGAGAATTTTTATTTTCACAGCTCTCACTGTTCCTGATCGAGATACAACATCCTGTGCTGTTACCTCAATTAACTTTAAAAGTCTTTGTTCACACTGAAAGGTTCAATGGGAGAAAGGGATACACATATAGATTTTATTTTGCTTTCTTTCATTTCACACAACCACAAAGTCACAAATGGATTTTCTAGAAGTTAATTTCCACATGAATGTTAACAATGCTTAGAACAAGGGACCAATGCAACAATTCAAGGTTCATTCTAGCTGTCCACTTTAGTTCATTGTTTACTAGGCATGATGTCACTCTCATTTGTGAATTGTTTATCAATAAATAAAGCAGCTAACTTCTTGTGTTCTAGTTTTATAGTGTCAACGTAGGCAATTTTCATTCAGACCGTAATTCGGCAACTTTAATATACCTGTATTAAGAGAAATTATAAAATTATTTTGTGAACACACGAGCAGGAATAGCTTAGACAAATATTTATATTTCTGTCAACTGGACAACTAATAGGATTAAAAATAATTGTTTTTTTTTAAAATGATGCTTTTAGAACCTAATTTTAAACATCAGAGGGATAAAACAACACCTGCAGGAGATTAAAGTTCCATTTTTGATGTATTAAATGGAAGCCATATTCCTCTACAAACTGGCGAGTCTCAATTCAAAATTATTTTTGAAGATATAAGAGAGCAGCATAGATACAATACAACATTACATTTGTGAAGCGCCTTTCATGTCAGGAGGACGTCGCAAGGCTCTGAACAGTTAGAGATTAGGACCCGTGCAGGGGTGATGGGTGGGGGGAGCGGGAGGGGATTGGAATCAGGGCAGGTGGAGGGTAGAGAGGGTAGCCGAAGGCACGGTCAAAGAGGAGGGTCTTGAGGCATGCCTTGAAGGAAACAAGGGAGGGAGCAAGGCAAAGGAAATGTGGGATGAAGTTCCAAGGGTAGGAGCAAAGAGGCCGAAAGTTTGACCGCCGATGGTGAGGCGAGCTGGGTGGGGGACATGGAGCAGGCCTGCTGAGTGGAAGGAGCGGACAGGTTGATACGGGGTTAGCGGGTCAGAGAGGTAGGAAGAAGCAAGGCCTTGGAGGGCCTTGATGGTGAGAACGAGGATTTACTCCAAGCATTTGAATGCATTCATTGGAATAAAAAGCCTTATACAAATGTAGATTAATTGTGTAATCGTAAACCCAACAATTGTATAAGGTCAAACACACTCTACAATTGTCATTTTAGGGACGAGAAATTTAAGAGGAAGGTCGCAAATTGAAATAATGCCATTGATAAATGGCAAATTCTGCTCAGAAATTAGGTACACCCAGAAAATGTAATTATTTTAAAAATGTTGAAACAAAAATTCCAAAAATTAAAGCTTCCAAAAATTAAAATTCCCCAAATTGTGGCATGATGCATTATTCATGCATAATCATGGCATACATCTGTTACTTGCCAGAAGTTACAACACACAGACTAATGTTGCATTCTGTCTTCCAAAAATAACTAGTGCACAAAAAGTTGAATGATTTTAGAATATTCACAAAGGAATACCTACTTTTAAAAAGTCACGCTACAAACAGTCTTTTAAAAAGACATGCTTTCGCAGGAACGGAACTGGTTGGGCTGACTGGCCTGTTTCCGTGTGGCTTATTCTTTGCAAAAAGGTTGCTATTTCAATTGTTTCCATTTAAACAAGACATGACTTTTCTGAGGAAATAGGCATATTAGCTCAAGTGAGTATTTTTAAAAATACCTTTCTCGTATGAGCACTGGGTGACACAGTATTCTGGCACATTGCGTTCAATTTGCAAGTCCAGCTCTTGTGCCTTTGGCAGCTTCAAGTGTCCTCAGTGCAATAATTCTCCCTGGTCTTAACCCAGTTTCTAGTTGCTGATAGTCAAAGTGCATAAACGGCCAGTGTGTCACAAAGTGGTGCACACAGCAATTTCACTCAAAGCCAAAACATAATAATGAAAATCTAGTATTGATATTAAAGAAGTGGAAGATTTCACACTGGTGCTACAGGGACGGATCCGTTGGAGAAAAAATGGAGAAAGAGCGCGGGGAGTGTTATTTTCCTTTATTACATCTATAATTTTTCTTGGTAAATAATAATGAAAAGACTCATCAGCAGGTTGCCCTGTACAATTGTCTGGATATTACAGTGTAATAATACGTAATATGAGTACTAAGAAACTGACTTGACAATTTACCTTAGAAACATTTCTAATGTGACAAATATTTGCCCGGGCCTCAGTGTCTCGGATATCACAATCACAAACAAAGCCATCTCCAATCACCATTTCATCCCCTTTAACTCCTCAATCCTTCTCCCCACCGCCACCAAACCCACCTCCATCTCCTACCGCTTCTTATTTTCATTCATATCCTTCAGTACTATTCGCCACTTTGAAACCTTAGATTCTGTTCAATCTTCTCTCCATTGAAAACAAGCTCAGTTCTGCAGTTTGTTTTGTTACTTTAAGTTCGAATGCACAATAGACAAAAAAAATTATGAAGTATATATCAATGATTTCTAAATCAGTTGTTTTCTTGTAATCCAGAGAAATGGAAAATTGCTGAACATAAGTGCTACTTTTACTCTTAAATATAATAATGATCACTTTGCTTCAGCAGGCGTTTCTTTGAAAAGGCCTCTCAACTGCTAATTAATGCAACTACTCGTAAATATGCATGAATTCCAGCTGTGATGCCATTGAAACACAATCGGAAAGATTAATAAAATACTGTCAGTTTGTAAGTGAGCCCAAGAGATCTTTTGCCATCTTAAATCCATTATAATTCAGTACAGATATGGATACAATTCAAAAATACATTATTTGAAAATAAATATATAAGGAAATAGATCATGTAAAATCAATGGTGTTAACGCTCAGGATTCAAATCTTAAATTTCATTTTGTGGACAAAATGCATTAGATTTCCTTGCAGGAATGACTTCCCTAAACATCTTAAAAATGCATTTAGCTTACAAAGCAATAAAAAGTATACATTTCTAACAGAATAGGCAGCAGATACCCTTATATGGAGCATTCTTGCACCTTGACGAAAACCTCACATCGAACTATAGAACACTAGAATTTACATCTTAGCAAAAGAGGATTGTTTCTCTGGAATGTCAATTGTTTCCATCATCTGACCTCTACCCCCTTCCCCCCATAACAAGCAAAAATTACAGGTGTAACACCATAATGTGTAATCCTAAGACCAGGAAAGTAATGGAAAATGGCTGTAGTTTTGTCTATTTAAGAAAAACATAATGTCTGAAAAAAATTGCCCAACCGAGAATTGTTCTTACCTCTATTAGCTTCCGCTCATAGGTGTTAGCCAGCTCATATTTATCCACCAAAGGTTTAGGCTCTGGGATTGTAAGATCTGCATCACTGCTCCGCACATTCGGAAGAACTAAGCAAAACCAGATATTGAAACAAATTAAAACTACATGTTTATGACAGTGACTGTTTCTGTAATTTTACTGGAAGTTTGATACTGTATGTCAATATTTAAACATCACACCAATGCTACATAAGATCAGGACCTGTATATTATCCTTCGGAGTAAACTCCAGAATAGTCTAGTCCATTCTCCCCCTCCCCCCCCCCCACACATACAGAGTTAATTTGTCGTATTCTGTTAGGAAATAATATTCTGTTAGGAAACAATATCTTGGGATACAGTAGAGTGTTTGGGACATGAGCATGTGATTGCCAGGATGGAGGGTGGGCCATTTTTCACCTTGCAATTCTTATGTTCTTATTGAAATACCGTTAAGCCTTGTTTCAAAAATGAATTGGCTAAAACCTATATAGAGCTGAGTCAATCGAACACTGGCTATAATAGATCAATGAAGATTCACCTCTAGCAAATCTAATTCAAGATTGTTGATGTCAGGTTACATAACTAGTGACTCATTCGGAACTGGTATATGTGGAAAAAATATCCAAAGATGTGAGGAAATAAAAAATACACATTCTCCTTTTCTCCACAATACATTCTAAATGCCCTGAACAGTACAATTGAACTGCACAATTTTCCAGTTTTGAGAGTGGATACATATGAAACAGAAGATGCATTACTCGAAATTCAATCAATGAGACAGTCAGCAGATTTATTACTGAGACTGTCAGCAGCTTTCTCAAGAGTTTTGCAATTATCTATTTCGCTTCCAAGTGAGTGGCAGCACCGGAAACCACAAATTCAATCCATGTAGTGTGAGAAATCATTCACAAAATGTTATTTGCACTTTTAAATCAAAGGGTGCAAAAATAGCAACTAAAAGCAATCCTACGAATTGCAGCGACAGAGTTCTAAAGCAAAGTTAGTAGTAATTGTTTTTATTAAAAATTACACAACATGAACAACGGTAGCAATTGCGGTATTAAAAATTGTATGAACAATGGAAAATTGAGAAAATCTCCCACAGAAACACAGAAAATTTCCCAAATACAAAAATGACATACTTAGAGCGTGGCTCAGACTTGACTCAATCAACTTCTGCAACCCAATGCCTCCAATAATCAATTGCTAAAGCAATTACCTAATGTGAAAATGTGCTATTATTACAGACAATGATAGTACCCCAGTCTGCTGACATAGTTTCTCTCAGTCCAGGCAACAGAAAATAAAAGGATTTTATTTTAGGACACTCACATTGATCTTAGAATTGGAACACACATTCCTAAATAAAATCTGGGGTGCTTTGGCACAGATTCCCACAACTTCTTCTTCCTGACAAACTCATGAGGCAATAAGTTGAAAACCTTACAAAAATAAATGAAACCAAAGCAGGTGAGTATCCCGTAATCCTTGTGATATTTCACAATTTCATAGAAGGCCACACATGTATCTCATATTCAAACAAAAGGCTTACTTGAAGGAACACGTTACCTCACAAATTGTCATCCATAAATTTTGTCCTTGCCAAGTGATACAATTCGTATCAAATCCATATCTAAATTTAAATATAATCATACCACCAGATGAAACATTTTCACCAAATTACAATTCTGATGATACGATAAAAGGTTATTTCTGACTACATTTTTTAAACTACCCTTTGGTGTCGTAATTTGATGATGTGAATATTTCTGTATTTGTTTCGAAGCCAAGCCTCAGAAGCTCAGAATAACACTTTGCTCAGTAATTTATAAGAGCGCTCTCAGCTGCAGACGTCTGAGGAGCCTCTGCATCATGAAAATACTTAAGAGGACTTCCTGAATGTCAGAGATTATGAGTTAATGTTTTACCCAATTGTTAAAAAAATTCAAATCACTTAAATAATCCTTGCATTTTATGTAGCGCATTTCACATCAGGAAGACATCTCAAAACACTTCACAGGATTTTACTGTAAAATTTGTTTATTTTAAACAAATAAACAATTAAATATTATGTTTCCTAGGGATATGTGAATTCTTTCAGCTGTCCCCGCAAACAAGCCTTCAAGATGTAATCCCTTCCTTGTGAAGGAATAGCCCCCGGAGACGACACTCGGCTGCTTTTGAAAATTCAATATGGGCAACTGTACACCACCTGCCAGATGTTTGATAAATCCTTTCCAGTTTAGCTTCTTGGCACATACTTGAGATTTGGATCTTCCCAGGTTAGAGGCAGTCACTATCTCCTGAGAATTTGTCTCCAGAGTTGCTAACTTAGATAATAAATGGAAACACAACACTGAGCTATCTGTGGAGTCCTGTAGCTCAGTGGTTAGAGCGCTCGCTTTGCAAGCGAGAGACCTGAGTTCAATTCCAGGCAGAGGGCGAAACCTTGGGCAAGTTTCCTTACTCCACACAGAGCCTAATAATAACCCCTCCAAAACAAAAAATAATAAATTGGTCATTTTCAATCTACGACTGTTTATGGGACACTGCTGTGCGCAACTGGCTGCCGCGTTCGCCCACAAATATACAGTCAATTCACTTTACAGTATATTCTGTAAAGCGCTTTGGGACGTCTAGAAGACATGAAAAGCGCTATATCAAATGCAAGGATTATTATTATATCTGTTCTGAACTGCTACCATACGTCCATGTATATAACAAGCTATGTTATACAATTCTTTGACTCAGATCTCATGCTGTTGTTTTTTATAAAGAACAAATTACATTTGTAAAGCGCCTTTCGTGTCAGGGGGATGTCCCAAGGTGCTGGACAGACAGTTATGGACCCGAGCTGGGGGTTGGGGTCGGGAGGGGAGGGAAGGAAGCAGGGAGATCGAAAGCACGGTCAAAGAGAAGGCACTTGAAAGTGGCAAGGGAGGGGGCGAAGCGGAGGGACTGCGGGATGGAGTTCCAGAGGGTGGGGGCAGAATGGTGGAAGGGTATTTTGCCTGTGGAGAAGGTTGGGTACTTGATTCCAGCTCAGAACAAGGGAATAGTTTATTCCATCTCAGGAAAAGTAGATCACCCAGGGTTATTTGTTGAAGTGCAAAAACTATACTGGTTTTGTTTTATGTTTCTGTTCATTATACATGTGTCTGCCAAATAAGATCAATTCTAAACCAGCTTTCATTTGTCTACTAACATCCGTGTTGCTCTGAAGACAACCAAAGGTTTTCCACCTTCCAAAAGAGAGTTCTCAATCCAGACTGGGGCCAGAATTTGCAAGGGGATTTGGCACAGGTGTGTGATCTTGATAAACACTTACGACAAGCAGGCTATGTCAGTGTGCAAGGCCATCAACATCCACTTGAGAGATCTTAAAAGCTGTAAATTGGAGATTTATAGTCTTTTGTTTTGAAAATTGTTGAGAAAATGATTGCATTTGCATCAGCATTACTTACTGTCAAGATCAAATATATTGATTGTTTAGTCATTCAATCTGGCGCACCTCACCTGCAATGTTAGTTATGCAATGTTACAAGTCAGTAAGACCTATGTCTGTAGGAATTTGGTGGTTCTGATATATATTAACTGGAAATACATTGTCTGCATCTGAACCTCCTTATTCTTTTAACTTTGGATTCAGTTTATAAAATATACATAACACACACAGTGGGAAGAGAGATCCGTAGACAAAACAAACTCTATTGATAGCCTCCCACAAAGAAGTCTTTGTCATTATATACATTTTGAGCTCTCCAAAGACTGTGGGTAGTTCATCATTAACTGCACAGAAACTTTTGAATATAGTCACTTTGAAGATCTTATGAATTTTAATCATAAAATATAGCCAGCACAAATCTGGAACACCTCCCTCCTCATACTTCTAAAAAAGAGTTGTGCATCGTCAACTTGTCGGTTGATTGCGGTCGTTTCTCAGCAAGAGCCACAAAAGACTCACCACCTCAGCCGTTCTGAATGCCTTTTTTTTTCACAAAAAAAATCCAAATCACTGGAACCTCCATTTCTAGATCTCTCATTATTTTCCAGTAAGTCTGTAAGAAGAAATTTGAAGCACCATCTGTTATAGAGAAAAAGCTTCCTCCAGACGACAATGATTTTGAATGTAAGGCTCCAGCGCCTTGGGGACATCCTCCCGATGTGAAAGGTGCTATACAAATGTAATTTTGTTGTTGTTTATTATTTTACACTACACAACCATACACATCACTTCCCAGCCACTCATTGCTTCTGCATTGATACCCCTATCCAAAGTTGGCAAACAACAGAGATTTGGGGATTTGCATCCCAGCAGTAATAACCCACTGTAACTCAAACATGTTGTCTGTGAGAGTTTGCAAACAGTGCTATTTAATGATCTTTTTACATCACAACATGTATTCTCCTTACAAACCTAAAGTTTAGCATCTTGCGCAGTACATCCTTCCCTAGTTTTGATTGCTTAAAACTAAAATATTGCCAGCACTTCTTCTCACTATTCTGATAATGCAGCAGTCAAGCCTTCATCTCGACAATCTTGCAAGATCTTGTTTGATTGAAAGCTTTGTTTTTTCAGGTGACCAGGAGGTACAACACTAATATGAAATACTCAGAAAAACTGTTTTGTTTGCACCTCACCCTCAAGAGATAACAACCCAATTCCAGTACTTGTCGAGCTAATCTCTGGTTCAATATGTTCTTCCAAACTGCTATTTATAATACTGTTAACATCTGCTCCTCAAACAATATGAAAACTGTCCATCAGCAAAAGTTTTGTATTGGACTAAATACCATTTTATTGCACAAAAAGTATTTATTTGTGAACTCAATACAAAAGTTGACAAAATAATCAAATTTAATTTGGGTAAGGTCATGTTATACCTTATGATTGTGGAGGGAGGAATGAATATCTGTAAAGTTTAAATTCTTTGCACAATTTCTCTCTCTAAATCCAAATGTCAAGATTCTTGTAAAGGCCATATGAACCTCAATTTACAAAGCATAAACCCCACTAGGTACAACTCAGCAGTGACTGCAACACCACTAATTTAATTGAAAATATATGTATCCACTTAAGAGCAGCA